TGAGCACTACCACATTAAAGAAATTAATATGAGACTGGCGTTCGGCACAGCAGCTAAGATGCCACTTGGAACACCTGCAGTCTATATCAGAGTGCCTGGATTTAGGTCTTGGTTCCACTCGTAAATCCAACTTTCTATTAATGCCCACCCTGGGAAGTAGCGGTGATGGTTTTAAGTACTTGAGACCCTGCTCCCCATGTGGGAGACCCAGATTGAGTCTAAGGTTCCTTGCCTTTTTTTTTTTTTACAGGCAGAGTTAGACAGTGAGAGAGAGACAGAGAGAAATGTCTTCCTTTTTCCATTGGTTCACCCACCAAGTGGCCACCATGGCCGGCACATTGCCGCTGGCAGACGCCGATCCGGAGCCAGGAGCCAGGTGCTTCTCCTGGTATTCCATGTGGGTGCAGGGCCCAAGCACTTGGGCCATCCTCCACTGCCCTCCTGGGCCACAGCAGAGAGCTGGACTGGAAGAGGAGCAACCGGGACAGAATCCAGCGTTCCAACTGGGACTAGAACCGGGGTGCCAGCTCCGCAGGTGGAGGATTAGCCAAGTGAGCCGTGGCGCTGGCCACCTGGCCTTTTTTTGATCCAGCATTGGCTATTGTAGGCAAACCACAAGATGGGAGATCTCTCTCTGACTTTGTGTCTATCTCTGACTTTCAAGTAAATAAAAATAAATAAATAAAATACAAGTACACTGTGCTCAGTGTTTAAAAAATTTAATGTAAGTTCACAGTGTAAAATTTGGAAAATATAAAAAAGTAATAAAGAAAATAAAAATCATATCCTGGCTATAACATATAATATATATTATAATCTAGTTATATAGTTAATATTTTGTGTAAACTCTTTCCATTTTTTCTTGTCCTATACTTGTAAATTTTGCAAAATTTATTTTTCACAGAATGTACTGTTCAATTTTCTTCTGATCACAAAAGTAATCCATACTGAATTTAGAAAACAGAACAGCAGAGGGAGAAAACAAATCTGCATAATCCCTTCACTCATAGGAACCATGTTTTATTTGTTCTCCTATCCCAGAAATTAACACATTACCATAATGAAGCAGACTGTGTTGTCTGTTTATTAAGTGCTCTGTTAAAAAAAAGATAATTTCCCTCTGCTATGCTAAGGAAGAGAGTATATCCTAAAACTAAAATTGAAGCCATGGCTTAAGAGAGAGAAGGAAGCACACCCATTTGTATTAGAAAATGATTCTAAAGCTTACTGCTTCACAGTTTAGCTTGTCATTGCAGGAGCTGACCTTTCTCAGCAAGATATCCACTTCCCAAATTATGTATTGCATGCCAAGGAGTTAAGTCAGATTACTGCTATACTTCTCAGAATCTAAATTCCACATCTCTATTTGTATTTCAATGAAAAGACTTCATGGTGCACCAAGTCATTAAGGCTCTGCGATCTTTGCAACTCTTAATGGCAGCCCAACAGGGAAAGCCATTGTAGAGCAAAAATAGCCATGGGATTAGAGAAGAAAGCCTTGTTTGCTGTGCCATGTTGCTGTGTACAATCCCTCCCGTGATGTGCATGAATGGGTTTAAATGTAAAGCTAAGGCTTTGCAGACTCAGCACGCTCATCAGATAGTATTTATTGGAGGTTATGGCTGAGGTGCTCTTCTCCTTAGCAACAAGATGCAGCAGGAAATTTATTGGGAATAAAAATTTTTACACAGTTATACATATTAACTTTCTATGCAATGTCTTCTTAACCTAATAGCTTTAAAATCATATACTTAAGTGGTTGGAGTAGGTGAAATCTATAAAGAAAGAAAAATTTCAGCTTGACTTGATTCCCTCATTATGATTAGGTGCCTTTGTTTCCCTACAAATTTTCTAAAATTGGAAGAGAGCAGTGATTAACGTAGCTTTCAGTTTTTTCTTCTCGTTATTTATCTATAGCTAAACCAGGTCAAACCAGAAACAGATAAAGTTCAGGAAATCATTTTAACCTCTGACCACACACACTCAAAAATTGCCTACCCATAAGATGCTATGATTTTCTGTGTTTATGACACACAAATGAATCTCTTGAAATGAAGCTGAAAGCTGTAAATTTATGAATTGAAATGAAGTTTAATCTAGTGGGGATTAGAAATTTTAGACAGGCAAACTTTCCTCTGAAAAATTGTTCTTTGAGGTGCAGCAAAAGAGCCAGAAATGGGCTTGAAAGCAGAGAAGTAAGGGGCCGGTGTTGTGGCATAGCAGGGAAAGCCGCTGCCTGGACACTGATGCCAGCATCCCATATGGGTACTTGTTCAAGTTCCTGCTGTTCCACTTTTGATCGAGCTCCCTGCTAATGGCCTGGGAAAAGCAACAGAAGATGGCCTGAATGCTTGGGCCCCTGCATTCACATGATGAAACTCGTAGCTTCATCCTGGCTCAGCCCTGGCTATTACAGCCACTTGGGGAATGAACCAGCAGATGGAAGATCTCTCTTTCCATGTCTCTTTCTCTGTAACTCTGCATTTCAAATAAATGAACAAATCTTTAAAAAAAAAAAAAAAAAGAAGAAGAGGAAGAAGTAAACAAGTTTCTAAGAGGAAGGAGAGGAAACCTTTGGTTAAGAGAAGACTGGGTGGGATCCTATAAAAAGTCTGCCAGTGGGAGCCTCTGAAAGGCTAGAGACAGACATATGATCTCCGATTGTCTTTCTGGTTGTCTTGCTGATTGTGTAAAGAAGATAAACTATCTAATGCTTACTTTAGGAGAAACACGAAAGTCTATACACAAATTTCCCAGCCCCAAATAAATAAAAGCTTTGGATGAAATGAAGTTATATTTGTAAAAATGAGAAAGGAAACCTAACCTCCTCTTTATTTTAGTAATCTGATTTTAACTGCAGTGTGTGGAAATTATCTAGGCCCTGTGGTTTAGAGATTCAGCACTCAGAGTGATACCTTCAAAAACAGGAAAGTTCTGATGAACTGAAGACACAAACTGCAAATTCCTCTCACAGCTACTGCTTAAACTGGATGTAATTGCCTCCACTGGATTTTTATTTTATTTTATTTTATTTTATTTTATTTTATTTTATTTCTTTGACAAAGTTAGACAGTGAGAGAGAGAGAGACAGGGAGAAAGGTCTTCCTTCCGTTGGTTCACCCCCCCCAGTGGCCCCTGCGGCCAGCTCACTGTGCCGATCCGAAGCCAGGAGCCAGGTGCTTCTCCTGGTCTCCCATGGGGTGCAGGGCCCAAGCAATTGGGCCATCCTCCACTGCACTCCCGGGCCACAGCAGAGAGCTGGACTGGAAGAGGAACAACCGGGACTAGAACCTGGCGCCCATATGGGGTGCCGTCACTGCAGGCAGAGGATTAACCAAGTGAGCCACGCCACTGGCCCGAATTTTTATTTTAAGTCCACAAATTGGTGACCTTTCTCAATGAACAGTGCTAAAAACCAAGTAATACAATAAAAACCAATAGGTCATGGTCCTCATATTTCATTGCAGTAAGTTGAAAAACTTGAGTTTAAAATGAGGGAAAGGTACTTACAATATTAAAATATGAGGGAATGTTGCACAAAGGAAGAGATAAAGCAATTATTTTATTAAAAAGAGAGAAAGTAATTTCAAATTTAGTCTGGACCAACTTTTGGTTCACTAGTAAATTCTGTAAAAATGCAGACTTAATTCTTTCTCAGTCGTATGTTCCATATAGACCACTAACCCTGTTAAGCCTGAGAGTAGGAATTGTTCTTAGATCTGAATCCTAACCCACCTCTAATATGCATTATGTTTATATGTATATTGCATTTGTAAACATGTTATGAAGGCATATGTATACACACACACACATACACACATACACATGCACTGATCATCTATTCATGTGCCAACAAAGGTTAAATTATACAGAATGGAGATGGTCTACTCAGTAAAGCTTAAAAGGTGTAATAACATTTAGGAAATATTTACAATGGGAATTAAAGGCAGAGGCAATTTCCTTTGGATGTATTACTTCTATTATGCTGCATATTGTAGATTCCTGGCTAGAAAAAGAAAAGGATCACTAATGTCATGTCCTGCCTCCATGTGTGTAGCAGTGTATTCTTGGAATGCCTGGCCCCTCCTAAAGGCCAGTCTGACCCCTGGCACACGGTGCTCTCTCGGAAACACTCACCACCCTTTGAAGACTGACTTGTGCTGCTCGTTTCATAAAGCGTTTCCTCACTTCCTGCAGTCCACAGTGACCTCTCCTTTCTCTGAACATTTATCACACTTAAGATTTATGTGACTTACTTGATAGCTTTCATAAATAATTTTGTCATATTTTCTTTGCTTATATATATTTTGTTTCCATGACTATTTTATAGTCCACTTGAGGATGGATATTAGATCTTATACTTCTCCATATTGTTTTTGCTACAGCTCAAAGTCTTGTATATGAAAGTATAATACTTATGAGTGTTAAGTATAATCATTTAGGTGACTGCTTACTTATAATTCTCTGGTGTATTTCTTTGGCACTTAGAAAATATTCAAATTTATGTTTACTTTAAGCATAATGGGCAGTATTAATCAAATAAGTATTAAAAATTATTTAATAAAAGTATAGCCAGATAATTTGTTTTTCATTTTAAAGAAACGAATTCAATAGTGTTATGGACAGATACTATAAGTAAATGCTATTGCTGTACTTGGATATATCTAAAAATATTGTCTAAGATTAAAGCACTGTAGTGAAAGTTTTAGAATAATCACAAACTTTATTTCCTCTTAAGATTTAAACCAGAACAGCTCTTGTCTCTCATATGAAGAGAATAACTTAAAATTTAGTTTTTAAAATGATTGTTCTTTTTCTATAGGTACTCCATATTAAGGGTCTAGTTTCATTTCAACACTTCTTTATATGGATTGAAACTGTGTTCTTCAGTTAGTGACAAGATCTGAATAAACTTACATGTCTGAAGCACTTTAGACATGTCAATGATAAATATATTTACCCAGCATTCTTCTCAAAAATTTTTCATACTTTTTACACAGTGATCATCGATGGCTTTGGGTAGGTCTGAATAAAAGAAGCCCAGATTTAGAAGGGTCCTGGCAATGGAGTGATCGCACACCAGTGAGTTGAAACTTTTTTTTTTGGGGGGGGGTAATATGGAAAAAGTGTTTGTTTAAGTAACAAGTAAATTGATTGTTAAGTAATACAGTCATGTAAGATTCCTGTAGAATCACAAATGACCATGAATAGCCAAAGCAATCTTGAACAAAAATAACAAAGCTGGAAGCATCATATTACCTTACTTCAAAATATACTACAAAGCTGTTAGAACCAAAAAAGTGTGATACGAGCATAAAAACAGACTTGTGAAAGAAGGGAACAGAATAAAGAGCCAGGGCCAGCACTGTGACACAGTGGGTTAAGCCACAGCCTGCGACACCCCCATTGCATATGGATACCAGTTCATGTCCTGGCTACTGCACTTCCAATCCACCTCCCTGCTAATGTGCCTGGGAAAGTAGTATAAGATGACCCAATTCCTTGGGCCCCTGCCACCCACATGGGAAACCAGGAACAATCTCCTTGCTCCTGGGTTCAGCCTGGCCTAGCCCTGGCTGTTGTGACCATTTGGGGAGTGAACCAGCAAATAGAAGATTTCTCTCTCTCTGTCTAACTCTTTTCCCTCTTTGCAACTCTGTTTTTTGAATAAATAAGTCATTTTTAAAAATCATCTCAAATGGATTAAAGACTTAACTATGAAACCTAAAACTGTGAAACTACTAGAAGAAAACAGAAGAACAGAAGTAGAAAAGCTCCATGATATTGGCCTGAACGATGGTTCATTGGCTATCACCTCAAAAGCACAGGCAATAAAAGCAGAAATAGATAAATGGGATTATATAAAACAAAAATCCTTCTGTAAATCAAAGGAGATCATGAATAGACTAAAGAAGCAACCTATAGAACGGAAGAAAATATTTGCAAATTATGTATCTGATGAGCTAGACATCCAAAATGCACAAGGAACTAAAACAACAGCAAGATAACAAATAACCTGATCCAAAAGTAGACAAAGGACCTGAATAGACGTTTCTGAAAAGAACACATACAAGTAGCCCAGTATATGAAAAATTCTCAACATCACTAATCATCAGGCAAATACAAATTAAAACCACAGTGAAGTATCACCTCACAGCTGTTAGAATGGCTATTATCAAGATGACAGAATTAAGCATTGGTGAGAATATAGGAAAAAGGGAGCACTTGCACACTGTTGGTGGGAATGTAAATTAAAACAACAATTATTATAGGAAGCAATATGGAGGTTCCTCAAAAAATTACAAGTGGAAATACCAGGGCCAGTGTTACGGCATAGCAGATGAAGTTGCTGCCTGTTACACCAGCATCCCATACGGACACCAGTTCATGTCCTGGCTGCTTCACTTCCAATCCAGCCCCCTGTTAACAGCCTGCGAAAACAGCTGAAGATGGCCCTAGTACTTGGGCCCCTGCCTCCCATTGGGGGACCAGATAAAACTGACTCCTGGCTTTGTCCTGGCCTAGCCCTGGCTGTTGGCAGCCATCTGGTGTATGAACCAGAGAATAGGAGCTATCTTTCTCCTCCTCTGTTTCTCTCTTGGGTGTAACTCTTTCAAATAAATAAATAAATCTTTAAATAAATAAATAAAAGTAGAACTACTATAAATGAACTAACACTCCCAACTATTGGGAATATATCCAAAGGAAATCACATCAGTATATCAAGGAGATAGATGTACTCCCATGTTTATTGCAGCACTATTCACAATAGGCAAGATAGAGAATCAATGTTAAGTGTCCATCAACAGATGAATGGGTGAAGAAAATGCGGTCTATGTGTATACAATGGAATACTTTTTAATCATTAAGAAGAATGTAATCCCATCAATTTAAGCAACATGTATGAACCTGAAGGGCTTTATAAGCCAGGCACAGAAGGATGCCAGTGTTCCCACTCACATGTGAAATCTAAAAAGAGATGATCTCATAGAACTAGACACTAGAATGGTGATTGCTAGGGAATAGTGCAGTTGCAAAGAGGGAGAGAGACGTTGATTAAAGGATGCAAAATTTCAGTTAGATAAGAGGAGTAAGTTTAAGAAATGTATTATAAGATACTGACTGTAGTTATCAATATATTATATTCTTGAGAAATACTGAGACTCAATATATAGTTTTCTTGCCACAAAAATAGTAATTATGTGAGGTAATGAATAAGTTAGTTAGACTTAGTCATTCCATAGTGTATATATATATATATATATACTTCAAAACATTTATGTGATATATACATATAATTTTTTCTGAATATTTTTAAAATAAGATTAATATATATGCATATCATATAACCACTAAATTATACATATTTATTGAAATGGATTCACATGTTTATAGTTGGGAAAAATATATGTAGTAAGGAAAAACAAGTTGTTAATATTTTTTATTTAAAAAGAAAATATGTATGTAGTCCAAAAAAGAGAGAGAGATGAATATGATGGTGGTCTTTGTATAGTACAAATTATTTTTCCCCAAAAAGGGTTTTTTTTGTTGTTTTTAAATGTCCTTTTAAAAAAGTAATGTGAAACTTTTCCCTTTTTATATAACAACAGTTATATGAAAAGAAACCATCTTTATCGAGGGAAATAATCTGTTTGGATAACCTTTAAAAATTCTTAAATGTTATTTCAGATGTTTATATTATCCAAAAGGGAGGATTCATGTAACACATTTAGGAGCAAAATTATTCTGGAATTTTCAATATTTGTTCCGCCACAGTACTGTCAATTCATTTTGTGTTCTTTCTAAATATAAGACTCCTTGACTTTTATTTTCAAATTGGAACATATATGAGATTAAAAAAACAACTAACACTTCATCACATGTAAAACAAAAATATCTTTCCAAGTTCTTGATTCTGTGACTCTAGCGATGAATTTCGTACACCATTAACCTCTACTTCGAAACTGTGTCTTCCTTTGTTTGGATACTTATGACATTTTCTAAGTCCTCTCATGATTTAGCATCCTGGTGTAAAAATGAGTTGAAAAGGTTTTCTTTCTGTAGCATGTGAACATGCTTGAATTATTAGAGCTGCTTAAATTGCAAATATTTATACATCAGTCTTAAATTCTCAAGCCTCTCCGTCTTTTCAGGTGTCTACTGTGATCATGGAATATGAGTTTCAGCAAGATTATGACATCAGAGACTGTGCTGCTGTCAAGGTCAGTACAATGCCAGAAAGTTTGCATGTTTAAAAAACAAATCTGGTATCGTATGTGGTCAGGCAGCAGATCCGTGGGTGCCTTTTGTGTATGAAGTATAATGTTAGGTGCAATGAGTGATAAGTACATTCCTGGCCTTACCAGCCTAACTTGTACTTAATTTGAAAGGATAAAATTTATATTCAGGAAAGGCATTTATGAAAATAGTCAAAGGGTACTGGGTTATTGGGAAATTATATAGTTTAGGTTTTATTCCAGTCTAGCTATGAGATATATCACATAGTAAGTTGAAATCAAGACACAGGAATTGAAGAGGAAAATGTATATTAAAAAGAACAAGGATCCAAGAGCTGGATTTGGGGGAACTGCTAACATAAAAAGGGAAAGATGATGAGAAAGGAGACCACTAGATACAGCTTTACTTTGTATCCCAAGAAAAAGATTCAAGAAGACCAAAAATATTACAGGAAGCGTGCGGCAAATAAGAACTGACGAAGTCATCAGAATGCACTTTTCTCAAAGTAACTCTTCTAGTAATAAACTATAGTGTCCTGCCTTTTAACAGAATTCCCAGGTTAACACAAAAAAGGTAAAAAAGTCCAGTGAAGCTCATGAAGCTCTCAGGGGTCCTTATAAGTGGAGAGACTTGAAAATTCACAAAATTAAATAAATAAGGCCGGTGCCGTGGCTCAATAGGCTAATCCTCTGCCTGTGGCGCCGGCACACCGGGTTCTAGTCCTGGTCAGGGCGCCGGATTCTGTCTCAGTTGCTTCTCTTCCAGTCCAGCTCTCTGCTGTGGACCGGGAGTGCCGTGGAGGATGGCCCAGGTCCTTGGGCCCTGCGCCTGCATGGGAGACCAGGAGAAGCACCTGGCTCCTGGCTTCGAATCAGCGCGGTGCACCGGTCGCAGAGCACGGGCTGCAGCGGCCACTGTGGGGGGTGAACCAACGGAAAAGGAAGACTTTTCTCTCTGTCCTTCTCTCTCTCACTGTCCACTCTGCCTGTCAAAAAATAAATAAATAAATAAAAAAGAGATACTGATGCAGCCCGAATCAGGGACAAGCCCAGCCAGGGCAGTGTTCCACAAGGAGAATCTTATTTCACCAGCCGCAGTACCCACCAGAGCCTTGGCCTTAGAGAAAATGGCCCTTGAAAGCATTAGATACCCACTCCACCCCCCAAAATTATGTCTTCCCCTTTGCTTTCTCTCCTCCTTGCTGGCTGGAACTTGTAGTGAGCTATGTTGGATCATGTAGAAAAGAACAAGAGCCTATACATGGCAGAATAAAACTCAAGAAGGAGCCCAGGCCCCTGAGGCCAGACGTCTATATCACTTATGATCTGCTCTGATGACAGCCTCGTGCTTGGGTACCACCGGAATCAATATTTTTTTCCAGATTCATATTTCTAAATTTTAGAAGTATGAGATTCTACCATTTCATATCAACAGATACAGGAGGGAAAAAATGGTAATTTGCATCTGGATGTAGATGTGACCTGTATACTGTATTTCCTTTGTCAGCCCCTTTGTAGATTTTTACTCAGGCATTACTGTGTAAACATGCTGCTCAATGATGTGTTCATTTACCAGATATCTCAGGTACTAAAGGTAAAATGGGAACCAAGACTCGAGGGCTCACAGTTTAGTGTTTCCTAAGCACTATACCAACTGCAAAATATCTTGCCATCGTTCTCTTCCTCTAGGTCAATCAAAGGCCGTGGCGAAGAAGGTGGTATTTCTATGAAGAGAGAGAATTTGTTTATTTCAGGCCTTTTGCTTGTGATACAAAACTTGAATGGGTGTGCCAGATTCCAAAAGGTAAGTGATGTGATGGTTAATCCTTTTCACAGCTTTCTTATGTTCTTAATTTTAACATTGTTCATATGTTAACAGTGTGAAAGACTATGAAGATGCAGTTAATATATTAAGTACCTCCCTGTTTGACTTCTGCTCCTGATAGAAGGTTACTTTATTGAAAATTTATGCTACCTTACTCTCTGATTGCAGAAGAATTTGTATAGAAGATAAAATTTGGTTCACTGGGGCAGGCACTATAGTGTAGTGGGTCCAGTCCACCTCTTGCAGCCATTTAGGGAATGAACCAATGAATGGGAGACCTTTCTGTCTCTCCCTCTCTCTCTTTGTAACTCTACCTCTCCAATAAATAAATAAAATCTTAAAAAAAATTTTAGGTTCATTTACAGAGATTAGATTGTAGAATGAAAGATTATTTTAAGTAAAAGGAGAAATGTCATAGAAAAGAATCATTTTAGATTTTTTTAATAACTTTTTTTTGACAGATAGAGTTAGACAGTGAGAGAGAGACAGAGAGAAAGATCTTCCTTCCGTTGGTTCACCCCACAAATGGCCGCTACGGCCAGAGCTACGCCGATCCAAAGCCAGGAGCCAGGTGCTTCCTCCTGGTCTTCCATTCCCAAGAATCATTTTAGTTTTAATTTAGATGCAAAATGAAGATAATCTTGGAAGAATGAGGCAAAAGTTTAGAAATCAGAATGTGGCAGTTCCTGTAAAATTCAGAAGCAATTTTCAGTAAACTCCAAAATTGCAAATATTTTAGATAAATCCAAATTCTAGAAACCAGTTAGATTGATAATAGAACCTTTGATTCCAAAAAGGAGATGAAAAAAATCTTAGCGTTTTACTAGGAGACTACTAAGGAAATAGTAAGAAAAGTATTGCATGAGTCATACTTACAAATTATTTTAAGCAGAAATTGGGTATATTAAATTAGCGGCAAATACACAGAAAGTTCTAAAATGAGTTTAAGAAAAGAGGGAAGGAGGGACGGTTGGGTGGAAAGTTTGTTATGCTCATAAACTGTATATATGAAGTACATGAAATTTGTTCCCTTTTTATAAATAAAACAATTTTTAAATTAAGATGAAATGAGTTTCTGAACTGAATGTAAACAGGTCATTGAAACTATGGGTATATATACTCCCACAAATTCTCAAAGAACTCAAGTTTTATGTCATGGAAATGCCAATTAGACGGTTGTTCTTTTTCCTAAAAAAAGTGTCTATCATGTTACCTTTAAAGGAGTTCCAGGGGCTGGCATTGTGCTGTAGCAGGTAAAGTCACCACCTGCAATGCCAGTATCACATATGGGCACCAGTTCGAATCCTGGCTGCTCCACTTCTGATCCAGCTCCCTATTAATGTGCTTGAGAAAACAGCAAAGATGGCCCAAGTGCTTGAGTCTCTGCCACCCCTATGGGAGACACAGAAGCTCTGGGCTTCATTGTGGTCATCTGGGCAGTGAACCAGCAAATGGAAGATCTTGTTCACTCTCTCTGTCTCTCTGTCTCTCCCTCTCTCTCTCTGTGTACTCTGACTTTCAAAAAAAAAATAAATCTTAAAAAATAAAACAGCTTCTGATATTCCATCAGGTACAGTAACTGGTGAGTCTCTCTCAAGGTGAACTGTCAAGCTGTTAGTAAAAGGGAGTCAGGGATTCAGCCCTAAGGAAAAATATGGCTGAGTTATTCCTGATTATTTGATTAAACCTTAAAAGGGGGCAATGAAAAATCAGTTTGGATACCCTTAGATAAGTGGCATAAAAACTCATGTATATAATTCTTTAAACTTTTCTCTTTTTTAATTTTATTGATCTGTTTGTATTTATTTGAAAGGCAGAGACAAATCTTCCATTCGCTGGTTCATTCCGCAAATGGCTACATTGGCCAAACCAGAAGCCCAAAATTCCATCTAGGCTTCCCACATGGGTGATAGGAAAGCAATTACTTGAACCATCACATGCTGCCTCCCCGGGTGCAATTAAGAAGCTGGACAGGAAGCAAAGCAGTCGGAGCTCAAATCGGGCCCTCCAGTAAGGGGTGCAAATGTTGGAGATGGGGCCAGCGTTGTGGTATACCTGCCACCTGCAGTGCTGGCATCCAGTATGGGCGCTGATTCAAATTCTGGCTGCTCTACTTCTGATCCAGCTCTCTGCTATGGCTTAGGAAAAGCAGTAGAAGATGGCCCAAGCCACCTGCGTGGGAGACCTGGAATAAGCTCCTGGCTTTAGATCAGCACAGCTCCGACTTTTGTGGCCAACTGGGGAGTGAACCAGTGGAACTCTCACTTTCAAATAAATCAATAAATCTTTAAAAAAAATGTTAAACATGAAATCTTAACCACTGTGCCAAGGACCTACCCTTTGTGTGTATAATTTATTCAGACTGTCGCTGGTTTGAAGTATTAGTGTGACCCTCCTATCACTTTGCCATTTACTAGCATGCCACAGAAAGTGTCGTTGCTCCCTCTAACGCGCCCTTGTTGGTAGCTGCTTCCTCCTTTGAGAGATTAAATAAGGGAAACCTTAGAAATGACAAACCTGTAACCACAGGAAATAGTATGAAGAACATGTGATTTTTCTTGTATATATACATGGTGTTTAAATTTTTTATTCATTCCTTTGGGAGACAAAGAGAAATAGAGAGCTCCCAAATACCGGTTCACTCTCCAGATACCACCACAGCTAGGACTGAGCCAGTAGTAAACCAGGAGCCAGGAACTCAATCCAGGTCTCCCATGTGGCTGGCAGGAACCCAATTACTTAAACCATTACCACTGTCTTCAAGAGTCTGTGTTAGCAGGAAGCTGTAATCAGGAGCAGAGCCTAGTATCAAACCCAGGCACTCCGATATGGAATGCAGGTATCTTAACCACGAGGCTAACCACCAGCCCATGTATATAAAATTTTAAACTAAAGAGAAGAGACTGAGTCACAAAATAAAAATCACTTAATCAAAGAAATACATTTTCTAAATAACTGCACCCCCATTTCCCCAAGCAGAAACAAGATAAAAAAACAAACCACTCCCTATGTGAACTTCATTCCAGTCATTTGAAGCAATCAGTGATTGCTTGATCCAGGGCCTGAATATTACATTAACTCCCCTTTGATAGTACCTAGATTTCTAAGTTACAGTGTGTCACATTCACTTGGTGGTATGTTTCCTTGATTATTACAGCAGCAAAAGTCTATACTTTCTGGTTTTCTTAAGGAAATTTGCCTTTTCTGTTGCCTAAATCACCACTTCTTGGGCTCTTGTCTGTTTATTTTATTACTATTATTTTATTTTACTATTAGTATCCACTTCTTTAAAGTGAATATTTTGCAAAACATATAAATTTCAAGTAGCCACAACCACTACTGCTATATATACTTTTAAATATTCCTTTTATGATTGAACTGTGTAAACAATAAAGGTCATAAAGTTTTCAGTAAAATTACCTGTTACATAGCTACCCAAACACAGCTGTGTTTATTTATGTCTTGATTCCTCCAACACACAAATGATCAGAAGTTTTTGACAAGATTACAGACAAGACACTACATTTTTAGTGGGCTTGCAGCATTATCAATGGAAATTATCCAACATAAAGGGAAGTGGCTGAGAAAAACCAAAGATACTGAGTATGCAGGCAGTCCTCTGAGTAGGATCTTCTATACCTTAGGCTCTGATACCACAGCAAAATTAAAAGCAGCTATTTTGCCCAGTTATTGCTAAGATTAAGTGAGTTGTGTGTTTGACTTGAAGCCAGTGTGCCCTGGGGCCAGAATGAAAAGGGGGAGGAATACAGCTGGGATCCTGTGAGGAGCTGTCTAGGTGCTTCCTTAGAAATGATCACATGATTGCCATACTTCCCTGTGAGTTCAGTGGTAGGGTCTCATTTTTATAGAGTAGAAAATTGAAGATCAGAGAATTAAGTAACTCATTCAGAGTACCACAACAGCAAAGCAAATGAGGGCATTTGGACGTTGGCCTCCCGTCTTTGAAGCCCATACTTCTGTGTAACATGCCTTATTTCTTCCATTTCCATCCAGGAATCCTGAGGAATTATTTTTTTCCCTAATTTTCTCTCATATTCTCCAAAGGTTCAATACTGAGATGTCAAATTTTTTTCCAGTGGCTTCTTGGAGGGACAATAAACTCCACCAACATAGATTTACAGAACAATTACTCAGATTCCACTGGATAGAGCAGTCATTCTTAGATATCCTCATCAACAAGGAGGATTATCTTGGTGCATATTCCTTAGTGATTCTTTGTAATGCATACAATGTTTTTTACTTTTTATTGTTTTCTAAAGATTGTATTTTATCCATCTGGTACTTCAGTTACAACTTCCATGATAGCTAAAGGACTGTTGCTAATACTGGTAATACTTTATTCATGTTCACTAAAGCAGTTTTAGCATAGGCCCTACAAAATTCAATTAGGTGAACATAACTTGAAATGAAATGATTTGGCTAGATACAGATGAACCTCAGCAATACTACAAGTCCCTTTACATTATATTAAAGACCCTATTTATAGTTTACCATGATCTGTAATTGCATATTAAATTTAAGTTACTTGCTTTCTTCCTAAAACAGGTCATACTCCAAAAACACCAGAATGGTACAACCCAGGTGAGTTAAGAGAAATGAAATTTAGCTGAAGTGTTTTTTTTGATACTGTGCAAGATAATTGTGTAAGTACCAACTTCTTGTCTATCATATCTTCAAATGAAACACACATACACACACACACACACATACACACACACCCTACAACAGCAAGCAGGGAGGTGGGTGGCTTGTGTGGGATGAGAGGGTGAGGCTGGGTTTTTCCCACTCTGTGAATACAGGAAGGCGGCAGAATCTGTGGCTCAGGAACCCTTCGTTCTTCCCATCAGTACTGGTCCAGCTAGAGAGATCTACAGTCCGGATTAGTCACTCTTCATAAATATTTTAGAACATAAACCCCACATTCCAAGAGTAGAGTTTGCTTTGCACAACCCTAACTCCAATCTTCCTTTTCTTCTTTAGAGCGTGCTGGAATTCATGGACTTCCACTTATAGTTGAAGAAAGTGAATATTGGTTTGTCGCTGAACCTCACTTAAACTTTGAAGAAGCTTTCCTGTACTGTGCTAGCAATCACAGCGTTCTTGCCACTATCACATCTTTTACAGGACTGAGAGCCATCAGGAACAGAATAGCCAATGTAATTTCAACGAATGCATTTTAATATAATTTTAATTTTTACATTTATTCTGTTAAAATAACAGAAGGGGTCTTCAAAAAGTTCATGGAAATGTGTATTATAAAAAAAAAAAAAACCTGTACATGGATTTCAATTTTTTTGTACCAAAATAGACTTTTTTTTTTTAATTTGACAGGTAGAGTTATAGAGTATGAGAGAGAGACAGAGAGAAAAGTCTTCCTTCCATTGGTTCACTCCCCAAATGGCCACTACGGCCCCCACTGAGCCAATCTGAAGCCAGGAGCCAGGTGCTTCTTCCTGGTCTCCCATGTGGGTGCAGGGGCCCAAGCACTTGGGCCATCCTCCACTGCACTCCTGGGCCACAGCAGAGAGCTGGACTGGAAGAGGGGCAACCGGGACTAGAACCCAGCGCCCACCGTGTGGGATGCCGGCATCACAGGCGGAGGATTAACCAAGTGAGCCACGGCGCTGGCCCCCAAAATAAACTTTTAATTCCATTTTCCATGAACTTTTGGAAGTCTTCTTGTGTTTCAAAAATGTTGCCAAAATGTACAAAACTTAAATGTTCCTCTAAGATAAGATTTGCCTCACAACATCCAAAATTCAGTGTTTCACCTTAGAAAGGTTAAATAGAATTGCTTCTTTTAAAATATGTAAGATTAATAGTAGGGGTAAATTTATGAGATGAATATTAGTAAGATAAATGATCCTTATCCCTTGTCACATTTTTAATAAAGTTGCATGTCTAGTTAACTTAAGTTTGGGTTTCTACTAATGAATAACTGCAAAATAAGTTAATTCATTTATTTTTAAATTTTTCACTTAATTGTAATAAAACATTGTGTGTCCAGTTAAAGTGTCAGTCCAATTAATAATTATTTACTTATAGTAACCATATTTTCTGTTCCAAAATAAGACCATTGAATATACAGAGAATTTTCAAATTACTTATTTTGGTGAAAGTGCTTATTTGTGTAATTTTGAGACCAAAGTAGTAGGATATCTGGGAATTTTATGGTGTGTAGTTATAGTAAGGCAGGTGTTTACTTAGAAAATGCAGCACATGTAAGGATGAATGTTTGGTTTGTGTTTCAGATCTCTGGTGATGAACAGAAGTGGTGGGTGAGAACAGATGAACGGCTAATAGATCATCCTTTTTCACTGTATGTAATGTACTGATTCTGCCTTTGTAAAGTTGCCCCTTAAAGCAGTATAATTTTCCCTTTACTAAATGTACAACTATTTATAAATAATTTTGAACATTAATCTATAAATTGTCTATGTTAGAAAAAGCCAACTCTCTTTGCATATTAGCATCAAGAAAAGAGTGGTATAAAATGGAATCATTATAGAATTAAAATAATAGTAAAGAGTGGAATAGAATATCTAATGATATGATGAATTGTCAATCTCTCATTTTCTTTCAGCTCACATCATCGATGGCACTACTTTCCTATGTTTTGGGAGGAATGCTTGTACATGTCTGCCAAGACTTGGCTTATGGGTAAAGCTAATTCCAAACCCTTTACTGTTGATTGTGCAATATGTCAACTCTAGGTTCAGTTACAGTCTTAATCTTGTTTTCCTTCTGATCATTTGTTTGGTAGCTTCATCTTATGCTGATTTATTGTTAATGATAATAGCTCAAATTTCCAAATGCAAATAAAGGTAATTTTTACTGTGAATACTTTAACTTCCTTTATCCTAAAACAGTTACTTAGAAATGAGCTAACCATTATCATAACTGATAAGCTTACTGACAAATTTACAAATTTAAAGCAGGTGGTAGTTCTAAAATACATAGTTTAGGTCCTTTTCTCCCTTATTAAACCTCCCCTTTGATTTGCTTCCTGTTTCCTGTCATCACTCCTTGGATGATGTGATAGCCAGCTCAAATATGTGCTTTTTTATAGGCAATGTTTCATATGCTACAGCCTACTAAATGAATAATAATAGATGACTGGAATGGAAAGGGAATATATTTTTACCATTTGGGAAAGATTGAGTTAAGCCTTTCTTTGCCACTGGATTATTTTTTAAATGTGCTGAATGAAAAATTCTCATCATAGTAATCCTGCTTTTCATTTTTCAGACTTAAATAAACCAGCAGACTGTAATACCAAGTTGCCCTTCATCTGTGAAAAATATAGTGTATCTTCATTAGAGACATACAGTCCAGATCCTACAGCTAAAATACAATGCTCTGAGAAATGGATTCCTTTTGGGAATAAGGTAAAAGAGAATTGCTTCATTGTGCATACAATGATTGCTTTCACCTTGCTTATATGGCCTAGTGGAGAATAACAGCCAGTCAGACAACATCCCTAAGATCTCCTCTGCATACTTGGATATTCCACATGGCACTGTTTATTGCCAGAAACCATGGGTGGAACTAAGAGTTTACTCTCAAGCTAGTCCTGTCCAGAGATAGGTCTTTCAAAATGCTGCATTTCTGTGCCCTTGCTACTAACACTGCAGTTGCTAAAGTGGTTGGTCGTTGGATGGTAATCCATTGAACAGTCAGGACTGTCTCTGTGTGCAAATAGGAAGCTGAATTAATTTCTAACTGACGTTTTCTTTCCTCCATCAAGCAGAACATCCAAGCAGTACCTTCCAATCAAATTACACCAGCATTTCCCAATCTACCTTCTAGGGACTCCACATATGCTACAAAATGTTAGCCATTGACTCTGTCTCCATGTACAGGTTTTATGATTAAGTAGGTTTGGGAAATGTTACATTCTATATCTGCCTCTTTGAGGTGCATAATCTGTATTGGCATATGTATCTGTTAGGAAATGCATTTGGCTGCTAAAGAGAAATTGTCACAGTATGTTAAAACATTTATTCTCTTGCATAAAACAAGTGTGAAGGTTAGCACAATGTGCTGGTATCTTCCAAACAAACTACATTTGTTTCTATTCTGCCATCTTTAATATAAGGTTCCCAAGCTCAATTTTAAGTTGTTCTCTATCTAGAGTCTTCTAGAAACTACCCAATGACTTTCTCGGTATCTCATAGGCTTCTTAAATCTGTAAGAAGTCTGAAAAAAAATTTTGTAGGATGTTTCAAGGAACACAGTTTAATATGTACTACTTCAAAGGTGGGTGATTAGTGTAGTGGGGAAGTCTTCACTAACAGAGTACTCGAGTTTGAGTCCTGGCTTCTGGTCCTGTCCACAGATAGGTCCTGCTGATGCAGATCCTGGAAGTACTTCTGTCCCTGCCACTCATGTGGGAGACTTAGACTGAGATCCTGAGTCTTGGCTTCAGCCTAGCGCAACCCAGGCTATTGTGGGCATTTGGAGAGTGAAACAGCAGATGGGAGATGTCTCTGTCTATCTGTCTATCTATCTCTCTATCTATTTCTCTGCCTTTCAAATAAGTAAAAATTCTTAAAAGATATACCATTCTACACTAAACTAATTAAAAATAAAAAGGGAAAATAAAGCTTCCAGCTGTAAACATCTATAATAAAGCATGTATTTTGACTCTTTAAAATTAGGAAAATTTTTAATTCCCCAAGGTACAAATATTGTTAATTTGCATAATTAATATAAATTTTAATTAAAATATTCTGCCAAGAGATAGAGAAATGATTTCTGTTAAAATGTAGGGTTTTTTAAGATTTATTTTATTTATTTGAAAGGCAAAGTTACAGAGAGAAAGATCTACCACCCACTGATTCACTCCCCAAATGGCTGCAACAGCCGAGGCTGGGCCAGCCTAAACCCAGGAGCTAGGAGCTTCTTCTGGGTCCCCCACAGTGGGTACAGAGGCCAAAGGATTTGGGCCATCTTCCACTGCTTTCCCAGGTGTATTAATAGGGAGCTGGATGGGAAGTGGAGCAGCCTGGTCTCGAACCAGCACCCATACAGGATGCCTGCATTGCAGGTGGCAGCTTAATCCATTATAGCACATGCTGGCCCCAAATTTTGTTTCTTGATATAAAGAGGTAATGATTAAGAGCACAGACGTTGAAGTCAGATGGAACAGAGGCTTGAATGCTGACTGTACTACTGTGTGGCTGCTTCACTTATGGAGTAAGTTACTTAACTGCCCTGTGCTCCAGTTTCCCCATCTGTTGTGAGAATTAAATAGCACTATACAAATTGCTTAGCATGGGAATTACTCAATAAATTGAAAATGTACACACAAATGTATACTTCAAAGGACTCATGGAAAATGAAATTAAAAGAAGTGTAATTTGCTACAAAAATTCTTGCATAGTTTTATCATAATATGAATTTTCCGTGAACATTTTGAAGAGCCTCATATCATAGTTTGATAACCTCCATTCGGTTGTTTAAGCTGAAGTGTATAAACCAGAATTCTTTAAAAGTTTTTATTTATGTTAAAGAGTGAGAGAGAAAGAAGCAGAACAAACTTCTCTCCACTGGTTCACTTCCTAAATGGCTGCAACAGCCAGGGCTGGTCCTGATGATAGCAAGGAGATGGGAACTCCGTCCTGGTCTCCACATGGGTGTCAGGGGCACAAGTACATGGGCCATCTTCCACTGCTTTCCCAAGCACATTCAGCGGTGGAACTGGACAGAAAGCCGAGAGCTGGGATTCCAACCTGCACTCTGATAAGGGATGCTGCCGTTGCCACGTGGGGCTTAACCTCCAGTACCACAATGCTGTCCCTAAACCAGAATTCCTGTCGTACTACTTTGTACATTTCCATATCTCATAGACTGAAAATTAGAATCTCTCTAAGAGATAAGACATTTACCTCTTTTGTGAGCTCTCCTTTGTCTGTAATCTTATGCTTAATTTATGTCTTTGTTTGCAGTGTTTTCTAAAGATCACACCCCAGTTTCTTACATTTTCTCAAGCCAATGATGTCTGTCATTCCTATGGTGGCACCCTTCCTTCAGTGTTGAGCCAGAGTGAACAAGGTACCAGAATTGTTTGGGAAACACATTTTATTTTGATTTGAAATCCAAGTTTGTTTGCAGAAGCTGTGGGGGATTAACATATAATCTTATTAAACTACTGTTTTGCAGAGTAGGAAAAAGGCTATCTTGATGGATAAGCAAAAATATTCAATGACATCTTTAGTATATCTTTGAATAAATCAAATATCTTTTTAAAAAATCTCCTTTTAACAGATTTTATTACATCCTTGCTTCCGGATATGAAAAGTACTTTATGGATTGGTTTGCGCTGGACTTCCCAGGAAAGGATAAACAAATGGACGGATAACAAACAGCTGACCTACAGTAACTTTCACCCATTATTGGTTGGTCGGAGGCTGCAGATACCAGCAAATGTAAGTTTTCTAAAAATCAGCAATGTATATAACTCTGTGAAATGCCTAATCCTCCATAAGTTATTAGATTAAGAACAAGAGCCTATTGTATGATTCCATTATATCAAATGTCTAGAAGAGACACATCTGTAAAGACGGTCGCTAAGTAGTTTCTAGAAGCTAAGGAAGGGGGCCGGCATTGTGATGCAGCAGGTAAAGCCAGTTCCTGTCCTAGCTGCTCCACTTCCCATTCAGCTCCTTAGTAAGGGACAAGCAGCAGAAAATGGCCCAGTGGCTGAAGCTCTTGGCTCCTAGCTTGAGCCTGGCCCAGCACTGGCCATTGCTACCAGCGTGTAGCAGAGGTTCTCTCTCAATCCCTCTCTCTCTCCCTCTCTCTCCCCCTCCCCCTGCCTCTCTCCCTCCCTCCCTCTCTTTGTCTCTCCCTCTCTTTCTGTAACTCTGACTTTCAAATAAATAAATCTTAAAGCTAAGGTGAATGAAGGGGTTGAAGGTAATGGCTACTGGTTCTGGGGTTTCTTTTAGAAAGAGTGAAAATGTGCTACAGTTGATTAGGTGTTTGTTGTACAACTCTTGAATACACCAAAAACTATTGAAATGTGTCATTTGAATTATAAGTTCAATAAAGCTGTTACAAGAAGAACATGTGTTTCTCCAGCTTTCAGATAGTTGCCCTGGTTTTGCATGGTGGCATCAGATTCCATTGTAATTATTTTATAACCCTCAGGTAGTAAGTTGTAAATAGGAGCTTAACATGTATGAGCTTTGAGTTATCAGCCTCTGTATCTTAAGCAAAAAGGTACATAATTGGTGATTGGAGATTATATTTTCCTAAGAGCTGGACACAAAAAACTGTGGGAGAGAAGAGGAAATTGTACTGACAATACTTATGGTGACACCATGTTATTCCCCACTTCTTCTGTCTTTACTGCTTTGTTGATGCAGAACACATTTCGCACAAAGGGCAGTGATTGAGACATTAAAACGACAAACTCCAATAATATGTCCTAGATAGTAAGCAAATGATGTTCCTAGTACAATGTTAGTTTGCTCAAGATTGGTGTTGGGAGCAAAGGGAACTCTGAATCATGTATAACCATGTACAAAGTAGACAAAAATAATACTTGGTTATCATAGAAAATGTGGAAGCTGTAGAAGACTAAACACAAGGGGCTGGAGCTGTGCTGTAGTAGACTAAGCCTTCACCTACAGCACCGGCATCCCATATGGGTGCCAATTCGTGTCCTGGCTGCCCCTCTTTAGGTCCAGCTCTCTACTTAGAGCCTGGGAAAGCAGTAGAAGATGGCCCAAGTGCGTGGACCTCTGCAGCCTCTTGGGAGACCCTGAAGAAGCCCCTGGCTTCAGCTCCAGCTGTTGCAATCATTTGAGGAATGAACAGCAGAATTTGAGGAATTTGAACCGGTGGATGGAAAACCTTTCTCTCTTTCTCCCCCTCTCTCTGTCTGTAACTCTACCTCTCAAATAAAAAAGTAAAATATTTAAAAAAAGAAGACTAAACAAAACAAAAAAGTCAACCTTAATCTCTCTTAAACTTCTGACAAAGGCTTTTAAACTTCTTTTCTTTAAGGTTTTATTTATTAACTTGAGAGGCAGAGTTACAGAGAGGCGGAGCGGGGGGCGGGGGGTCTTCCATCTACTGTTTCACTCCCCAGATGCCCACAATGACTGGAGCTGAGACTGTCTGAAGTCAGGACCCAGGAGCTTCTTCCAGGTCTTGCATGTGAGTACAGAGGCCCAAGTTCTTGGGCCATCTTCTAAAGTTTTACTCTCAGGCCATTACATAGAGCTGGATCAGATGAGGAGTAACTGGGACACAAACCGGTGCCCATATGGGATGCCAGCTTTGCAGTCAGAAGCTTAGCCTACTAGGCTACAGCACCAGGCACCAGGTTTTTAAACTTTTAACCATAGGGCTGGTGCTGTGGCTTAGCAGGTAAAGCCGGCACTTGCTGTGCCAACATCCCATATGGGCTCTGGTTCGAATCCCGGCTGCTCCACTTCCCATCCAGCTCTCTGCTATTGCCTGGGAGAGCAGTAGAAGACGGCCCAAGTCTTTGGGCCCCTATACCTACATGGGAAGACCTGGAGGAAGTTCTTGGTTCCTGGCCTCCGATTGGCGCATCTCTGGCCATTACGGCCAATTGGGGAGTGAAACAACAGATGAAAGACTTCTTTCTCTCTGCTTCTCCTCCTCTCTGTGCAACTCTTTCAAATAAATAAAACTTAAAAAAAAATAAACTTTTAACCATAACCTATATATAGTAAGAAATACAATTAAATCACTAGCCAGGAGATGGATAAATATAATATTAAATTGAACTAAGAGTTTTAGGAAAAATAATTACTCTCAGAGATTATCCACACTGATATTTTCATTTTGTTCCATTCCATTCTTCTTTGTTATCCTATCTTATCCTATTCTGCTCAATTTCATTATCTCAAATATTAGACAAAATCTGCTGAATTAATTTCATGACCTACTAAATGGGTCTTAAGCTGTATTTGAGCCCTGACTCAGGCAATCACAATGAATATTTCAGCACTTTTTTTTCTAGAACTTTACATATGTTGTTTTCATGACATAGATGGATAATAGTATAATCTAGTGTACTCTACTTTTCTTACTTAGTGTTTTCTTGCCTTTTTAATTTTTATTTTAAGTAGTTCAGATAATACAGAGAAGTATAGAGTTCACTGAGCATACATAGATTTAACAATTTTTAACATTTTGCCATATTTGCTTAATACATAAATATATGCACTATTTTTCTTGAAAGCAATGATTAAAATATTTTTAGAGGAATTTTTTTTAGAGATTTATTTATTTGAAAGTCAGCGTTACACAGAGAGAAAGAGCGGCGGAGAGAGAAGTCTTCCATCCGCTGGTTCACTCCCCAATTGGCTGCAATGGCTGGAGCTGAGCCGATCCAAAGCCAGGAGCCAGGAGCTTCTTCAAGGTCTCCCACGCAGGTGTAGGGGCCCAAAGACTTGATCCATCTTCCATTGCTTTCCCAGGCCATAGCAGAGAGCTGGATCGGATGTGGAGTAGCTGGGACGCAAATGGGTGCCCATATGGGATGCCAGCACTGCAGGCAGCGGCTTTACCCACTATGTCACAGTGCCAGCCCCTGATTAAAATATTAATGTCACATAATATGGGATCATGACAGAGATCATAAAAGAGCAAATAAGGCTGTATTATCATGTAAGGAGTGTAATTCAGTGAAGACAAACATTAATAAATATCTACATAACAATAATAATATCTGCATAACAAAATATATGTTCATCACACATTTTATTAACTTCTACATATGAGAGAAAACCTATGATACTTGTGTTTCTGTGTCTGGATTATTTCACTTAGCATAATGATCTCTAATTCCATCCATTTTTCCATCAAATTTATTGCAAATGTCAGGATTTCAAATCCTTTCAAATAAATAAATGAATCTTTTCTTAAAAAAAAGCTACTTTTAATTGTTACACAATATTGTCTGAGCTAAGCCATCATTTACCTAACATGGTGTATATGAAGTTGATCTCAGCTTTATACATTAATAGATACTGCGGCCAGGAGCATCTTGGTGTATAATCTTCGCTTATATTTAAATTACATTTTTAAATTGTGAAAAGTCATCTAGCCAGATTAAATGCTATAAGTAGTTATAAAGCTTGGTTACCAAATTGCTTTCTGGAAAGACTCATGAGTTTGTGTTGCCGTCAGTAGTTTATTGCCCATCTGTCCTCACCAGCACGTTAATAATTTTAACATGTATTAAGCAGTTAATGTGTGGGGAACTCTCCTAATATACACGTTCATTATTTCATTTAATGTTCATTATAGTTGTTAAATAGCCATGTTACTCTTACCCTACCTTAGAAATGCGAAGACAGTCACAGAGAGCCAGGTCACTTGCCAGAGGGCATGTAGCCCACTTGTGGAGAGTGGGGATTTAAATCCAGGTCTCACAGTCTGCACAGTTCTCTCACCTCTCTACTCCATTGCCTGCAATGAATATTAGCTTCTTAAAACTTGCTAATTTCCCACTTTAAATGATGTATTTTCAGTGATATTTCACTAATTTCTTCTCATTTTAAAACATCTGTTTATTTGAAAGGCAGAATGGCCAAAAGAGAGGGAGAGACAGAGGGAGAAAGAGATCTTCCATCTGTTGGTTCACTCCATAAATGGCCGCAACAGCCAGGGATGAGCCAGGCTTTATAAAGCCGGGCTCCAGGGACTCCATCTTGATCATCTACATATGCAGCAGGGGCCCACGCACCTGGGGTGTCCTCCACTGCTTTTCCATGTACATAAGCAGAGAGCTGAATCAGCAGTGGAGCAGCCTGGATGTGGGATGCCATTGTCATAGACAACAGCTTAACCCCTGCTGCACCACAACATTTGCCCCATACATTTCTCTGGTTTCTAATGAAAATAAACTTCCATAGGTTATATAATAATTTTATCTCATCAAACTTGGATGTTTTTGCCTTTGTAAACTTACCTATCAAACCCTTCATGTATTTTTATTGATTTCATGACTTTTTTTTAACTTTTATTTAATGAATATAAATTTCCAAAGTACGATTTATGGATTACAATGGCTTCCCCCACATACCGTCCCTCCCACCCACTACCCTCCCCTTTCCCACTCCCTCTCCCCTTCCATTCACATCAAGATTCATTTTTGATTATCTTAATATACAGAAGATCAGCTTAGTATACATTAAGTAAGGATTTCAACAGTTTGCTCCCACGCAGAAACATAAAGTGAAAAATAATAGATGATTTTTTTTTAAATGATGATGAAATCAGATCAGACCTATTGTCATGTTTAATCCCAGTGAGAGTCAAGTTGGGAGTTGATAATTTCTTTCTTTTTTTTTTTTTTTTTTTACAGAGGATCAGTTTAGTATACATTAAGTAAACCCCCATAGAAACACAAAGTGAAATATACTGTTTGAGTACTCGTTATAGCATTAAATCTCAATGCACAGCACATTAAGGACAGAGATCCTACATGAGGAGTAAGTGCACAGTGACTACAACCCTTTGGCGTCTGAGAGTGGAAGAACAAATGGCCTTCCCTCCTAGGTGTTGAAAATGGATTTTTCTCTCAGAAAAGTTAGGTCAAGAATTTTAATAGAGACCAAAATTTTAAAAAAAAAGAATTTTAGAGGCTGGTGCTGTGTTGCGGCAGGTAAGGCCACCGCCTGTGGTGCCTATATCTCATATGGGCACCAGATTCAAGTGCTGGCTGCTCCACTTCTGATCCAGCTCCCTGCTAGTATGCCCAGGAAAGCAGCAGAAAATGGCCCAGGTGCTTGGTCCCCTGCACCCATGTAGGAGATGCAGCTCCTGGCTCCTGGCTTTGGCCTGGCTCAGCCCTGGCTATGTTGCAGGCATTTGCTGTGTGAACAGCCAATGGGAGATACTGTCTCTCTCTTCCTCCTCTTCCCTCCCTCTGTCTGTCTGTCTATCCTTCTGTGACTCTGCCTTTCAAATGGATAAAATAAATTTTTTAAAAATAATCTTAATAAAGAGATATTTATAGTCTTAATGAAGAGATGCCATATTCAGTAAAAAGATAGGTATGGGATGATTTATCTACAATGAAATGGAAGTTTTAGAGGTCCAGGGATGGGGTTGGTGGTAAATGCAGCAAAGGAGAAGGAATCCAGGGCAGTGCAGATAAGAATGCAGGCAAAATCACATCTCCAAAGGTTCACATTTCAGACCACAGCAGTTTAGGGATACCTAAGAACTCTGGTTGAAAGCATTTCAGAATGAGACCTGGTACTCTGCTGGCAGAGTGGAGAAACTCAAACAGGCCTGGACCCCACAACCCATTCTCTGGATTTGTGCACCTCCGCTGTAAGCCTATCTCAGGATAATGGGGTGATCCAGTCCTGGTTGGAATGAAAAGCTAAATGTTTACAGACTTCTGGCACACAACAACATACACTGAATGAAAAAGCCTCTCCCTCAGACAAGTGTGAGAACAGCAGTGTGGGATCTACCAGGCCTGTGGCATTAAGAATATATTAAGAATATATTCATGTAATAGCAGGTAAAGCTGCCACCTGCAGTGCTGGCATTCCATATGGGTTCTAGTTTGAATTCCGGCTGCTCCATTTCTGATCCAGCAGTCTACTCTGGCCTGGGAAAGCAGTAGAAGATGACCCAAGTGCCTGGGCCTCTGCACCCACGTGGGAGACCCAGAAGAAACTCACGTCTTGGGATCAGCCCATCTCTGCCTGTTGCTGCCAATTTGGGAGTGAACCAGCAAATTGAAGACTTCTCTTTCTCTCTCTCCCTCTCTCTGTCTCTCTCTGTCTCTCTGTCTCTCTCTGTCTTTCTCTGCCTCTCTGTAACTCTGCCTTTCAAATAATAAATAAATAAATCTTAAAAAAAAAAAGAATATATTCATGTAGCTCTGTGTGCCACTGGGTTATGCATTTTGCACATGTTGTACCATTATACTGGTCCCATTAGGTTAAGTGTCAGGCCTATTGAACAGATCAGTGGGTGGAGAGAGAGCAAACAGATTAAAAGCCAGTAGCGGCTGGCGCCGCGGCTGACTAGGCTAATCCTCCGCCTTGCGGCGCCGGCACACCGGGTTCTAGTCCCAGTCGGGGCGCCAGATTCTGTCCTGGTTGCCCCTCTTCCAGGCCAGCTCTCTGCTATGGCCAGGGAGTGCAGTGGAGGATGGCCCAAGTGCTTGGGCCCTGCACCCCATGGGAGACCAGGATAAGTACCTGGCTCCTGCCATCGGATCAGCGTGGTGCACCGGCCGCAGCGCGCTGGCCGCAGCGGCCATTGGAGGGTGAACCAACGGCAAAAGGAAGACCTTTCTCTCTGTTTCTCTCTCTCACTGTCCACTCTGCCTGTCAAAAAAAAAAAAAAAAAGCCAGTAGCAAGTTGAACCAGGCTCCTAAACCAGGTATGCTCAGCTCCAAAGCCCATGTTTTCTCCACTATGCCATGATGTCTCCAGTTTAATCAGCACTTATGGTAGTCCTTATGCCATTTAGCTTTCTGGTTTCTAACAACCAGCAGTTCCAATTATGTGTGAGGCAACACAGCATAATGGTGAAATCCATAGTCTCTAGGAACTGACACCCTGGATTATAGTCCCAGCCCTGCGGTTTATTCTGTGTGACCTTGTACACAATGTGTGTCTTCATTTTCCACATCTGTACAATGAAGATACTAATAGTACCTCTCTCATGTGGTTGTGATGAATTAAATAAATTAATATTTGTAAAGCACTTGGAATGACAGTAAATGCTATGAAAAGTGTGTTAAGTATAAAATTAAATTATAGGGGCTGGCACTGTGGCATAGTAGGGTGGAGCCACAGTCTACAGTGCTGGCATCCCACATGGGCACCAGTTAGTGTCCCAGCTGCACTAGTTCCGATCCAGCTTTTTTCTATGGCCTGGGAAAGCAGTGGAAGATGGCTCAAGTGCTTGGGCACCTGTGCTCACGTGGGAGACCCAGAGGAGACTTCTGGCTCCTGGCTTCATATCGGCCCAGCTCTGGCCATTGAGGCCATTTGGAGAGTGAACCAGAAGATGGAAGATCTCTCTCTGATTCTGTCTCTGCCTTTCTGTAACTCCACCCTTCAAATAAATAAATAAATCTTTAAAGCCCTGGCCTGAAGCACTGGCATCCCATATGGGCACTGGTTCTAGTCCCAGCTGCAAAATGTGTTGCAAAATGTGTTGCAAAAATTATAAATCTTTAGGTTGATCATGAGGGTCAAAATAATTCAAAAAGGATAACATGAAGATTGGCATTTGGGATGTATTTCTGTCCCTTTCAGGATGAACTCAACTTTGGTTGGTCAGATGGAAAACATCTGCATTTTAGTCGCTGGGCTGAGAATAACCACCAGCTTGAAGACTGTGTAATGTTAGACAAGGATGGATTCTGGAAAACAGCTGATTGCGAAGACAGCCAACCGGGTGCTATTTGCTATTATCCAGGAAGTATGTAAATTTCAAATATTTTGATTCTTAAATTACCCGTCTCATGAATAGTAGAATTGGAGGGAGTGGTTTTTTAAAATCTGGTTTTAGAATTGTGAAGAAGTTATAGTAGTGTCCCTTTTGCAAAATGTGTTGCAAAAAATTTATATTCTAGTAGAATTGTTGTTTCAAATATTTTATGATTAATTTTCTGTTTTGGACCTGTTGGCTTTTTATGTCAGCTGACAATGGAGATTGACACTTAAAATCCCATTGTTACTAGCTTCATTTTGCATAGATTTCTTATTTGTATCATGATAGAGAACTCTGGTGGCTTGTCTTTCCTGGATCTTAACATTATTTTTATGAGTCACTGTTATGATTCAGTTGGTCACAAGTGACAGCAACCAGTTCAGGCTAGCAAAACCCAGAGGGTGGGTCAGAACCCCAAAAGTTGGGAAAGAGCTGAGCCCCCTGGAGAATGGACACTGGGGATCCTGAGGCACTGTCCTCCCCTGTCGTTTCTGTTCCTCTCTGTGCATGTGCGCTCTTCTCTGTGTACTTCACTCCGTACATGGTGGAGTACGGTGGCTCCGCAACTTTCAACAGCATCCCCAACTGGATATGCGCTGTCAATTTCTAAATTCCACTATTCAAATCTTAGAACTGGATGGACTCAGCCTGAATCAGGTCTGCAGTCTGTAGCCCACTCACTGGAAGATGGTTTTACAACTGTCAAGTTTGGGGTGGAAAGTCAAGGCTGCTTCCCAAAGGGGCTTGTTGTGCTAGGAGACACACTGGGTGGTCCTGGCCACATACTCAGTCAGTTTGATCTATCTTAAGTAGAGCTTATCTATATTTGCATCATCTTGAATCCATGACCTTTTCATAAGGTGAAAAATATCAGATTCTTTAGATGCCATGTTTTCAACAGTATTTCCATCTGATTTGGCTAAAGCAATAGCTTATTTAGAATACCAGCTATTTCATTAGAATGAGCCTTTAAAATCAGAGACATCAGTAAGCAGAACCTTGAAAATGAATTTTCAAAGTCACAATTAGTGCCTATTATTAATTTATATGTTCATACAGTTTGTCTGAGTTGGCTTCTTGTACTTGACATTTGCTAATGCAGGAAGACAGAAATTGCATTTAACCTCACTCCTTACATTCCTTCACTTCACAACAGGAGTAAGGATATTGTGTCAAATAATTCCTTTGCTATAGAAAGCCAGCTTTCTATCCACTTTATTTGTATATACATAGAGAACACACATCAGCAGGGTATTACTTGTTGGGTCCCTGAATATTTCCTACAAATCAAGTATAATGACTAGAAACAGCATTTAACATTTATATCTGAAATTAGAATTCTTATCATTACCTCTTTTCTAGATGAGACTAAAAAAGAGGTCAAACCAGTTGACAGTGTTAAATGTCCATCCCCTGCTCTAAATACTCCATGGATACCCTTTCAGAACTGTTGCTATAATTTCATGATAACTAAGAATCGACACATGGCAATAACACAGGATGAAGTTCATTTTAAATGCCAACAACTGAGTAAGTATGTCATACTATCATTAATATTATATGTAATTTTATATGTAATTTTTTAACATCTCATTTGTGTTACATAAATATTTCTAATTAGCACAAGTAACTAGATATCAGAAACATCTGTCTTCTAATTTCTATATTATCAATGACAAAGTATTAAAATTTTTGTTAAGTCAAAGTGGAATGTATAGGAGTGACCTCTTTCTTTACCTGTCCATTCAAAAACTAGTCTGTCTGTATGCATGTAAACAAGATGGTTCTCCTTCACAAGCAAAGGGAGACCAGAAAGCTGGATGTTAAACCAAGCAAAGCTGCTAGTAAAGAGAATAGGTTAGTTTGAGTGTTTGAAAGCTTAGGTATGCCACAAAGAAGCAACTATGCTGAAATACACATTTCACACTTACAGCTCTCAAGACTCTTCACACATTTTCTAGGAAATCCACCAAGAATTTGTGACTTCTGAATGATTGATAGAATGATGAACTTTGTGGAAAGTTCCTACAGAAAATATCAAGCTATTATTTCAAAGTGTACTCTGTATAACACTCGTCTTGAGAGGTGTTCTGGAAAAAAAAAATCCTCAGAAACAGAACAAGTTTGAACAACACTAGACGTGATAGCCTCCTATTGGACATTATCCAGTGTACACTGACCTATACTTTAAGCAATACTGGCATAAGCGAACTTTGTATAACTTTGTTTAATCTATTGTTTGCAAACTTTTTATCCATGTAGACCTTTTCTGAGGCACTCTCTATTAAACAGGACATATTGAACTTTTTGGCCTCTAAAATAATAGTAACCACTAAAGAAAAGGAACATCTGTCTTATAGCCCATCCAATAAGTTTTACTTATTACACAATAGTCTTGGAGAATATGTCATTAATGTGAGTGGATTTGTGTCAACCGACAGGATCTTTAAGTTGGGAGGTGGGGGAGTGAAGTGAATCAGTGTTTTACATTTTCTATTCAGTTACTCGTTTTCTACTAGAAAACCAAATTTAAAGTAAAAATATTTGAAAATTTCTTAACCCATGCATTTTAATACAAGGAGATAGTGTGAATTCATGTTTTTCTAACTTTCCATTCTTTCAGTTTTAGAATAAATTGAGAATAACATTTTTTGAATCTGTTTACATAAAATATTTTGAATGACTATTAAAATTATTAACTATTTTACATAACAGATCCAAAATCACAAATGCTAAGCATTCGAGATGAAAAGGAGAATAACTTTGTTCTTGAGCAACTTCTACACTACAATTATATGGCTTCATGGGTCCTGCTAGGGATAACATACGAAAGTAAGTTGGACATTGCCAATTTTCTCTGTGTATATTCATACTTCATTATAAATATTTATCAAACCCCAAAAGTTTAGTTTTTCAAAGGATATGTTTTTAATATATAAAAGTGAAATTCTACAGTTAGGATAATATAAACACCAATACAATTTTTGCATCTCTTCTCTGCCATTAATATACCTTTACTATCAAGCTTATAGTTAAGTAGAGGAAAATAATTTCTTTCTGCACTCTGCCTTCTAGCTACCCAAAACTAACCAAAAATGAGTACTCCTGTATAAATCTCCAATACTTACTTTATATCTTATCTAAGGATATGAAATGAATGAGCACACGATCACATTTCTATTAATGTTCTACCTTTGACTTGAGGTATACATATATAAGCATAAGAAAAATGAGACAGGGCCAGGCATTGTAGTACAGCAGATTAAGCCAACTTGGGATGCCTGCATCCTGTATTGGAGTGCCGTTTCCCATCCTGAATCCTCTGCCTCCAGTCTAGCTTCCCTAATGCACCTGTGAAAGCAACAAGTGATGGCAGGTGTACTTTCCTCCCTGCTATCAACATAGGAGACCCAGATGGAATTTCTAGCTCCTGGCTTTAGCTTAGCCTAGCCCCAACTGTTGTGGGCATTTAAGGAGTGAACCAACAGATAAAAAACACTTCCCTCTCATATTCATTCATTCTCTCTCTCCCCCTCTCCCTCCTCTCTCTCCCTCTCCCTCTCTTCCTCCCTTCTTTCTCTCCCTCTCTCCCTCCCTCCTCTCTCTCACACACTGCCTTTCAAATAAGTAAATAAATCTTTTAAAAGAGAGAAAGATAGAGAGATACATTGTATGACAGTAGAGTAGAATATTTGAAATTTGGACTGAATTTCACAAATCCAAACATTTACTGCTATGAAAAAAATTTTAAACATAGAGTCTAATAGAGGAGAAATGAGACCATTTTGAAAGATACTCAGAAATGTCTTCAAAATCATAGCAGTTTTGAAATTAGAGAAAAGAGAATCAGTCTGTGAGCATAAAGCACCAAAAGCAGACATTTATCTCCGGCATTGTGTCTCATTTTTTTTTGACAGGCAGAGTGGACAGTGAGAGAGAGACAGAGAGAAAGGTCTTCCTTTGCCGTTGGTTCACCTTCCAATGGCCGCCGTGGCCGGTGTGCTGCAGCTGGTGCACCATGCTGATCCAAAGGCAGGAGCCAGGTGCTTCTCCTGGTCTCCCATGGGGTGCAGGGCCCAAGCACTTGGGCCATCCTCCACTGCACTCCCTGGCCACAGCAGAGAGCTGGGCTGGAAGAGGGGCAACCGGGACAGAATCCAGTGCCCCGATAGGGACTAGAACCCCGTGTGCCAATGCTGCGAGGTGGAAGATTAGCCTATTGAGCCGCCGCCGCACCGGCCTAGATATTTATCTTAAAAGGGATTTAATAAGGGGCACTGGACGATGATAGTGAGAGATGAGGTAAAAAAGCAGCTCACTCCCTCAAATGTGACCGGTTTAAAAATAGTATTCTCCTTTGTTGTCTACCCTGTTTCTAAGGGCTTTCAAGATTTTCCTTGAATGTTTATCACTAGCAGATTAATTAATGAAAATTAAACTATCAAGCAATAGGTAAGGCTTAGGTTGTCAGTTGAGGATGCTAGGAGTTAGTTGGCCCAAGACTTTTCTCCAACGGTACTTGAGTGCCCTTGCATTTAATAGTGGGGAAAATAGGATGGTACTAGTAAACTTCCCAACTTTACTTGAAAGTGACTGAAGAACCATGGTCTTGTCCTGATATCTAAGACATAGAGATTTGAATTTTACCCTGCGAAATTACCAAATTACCAGGACAATGGGCATGTGTAGTTAATGATATCATTCTTCGTACCAATTTTTAATTTTAAAGGCTTAGCAAAACTTTTTTTTCAAAAGCTTTACTGAGATATATTCCCATACCAAACAATTCAACCATTTGAAATATATAATTTAAGAGGTTTTAGTATACTCACAGGTTGTGTAACTATCAGTACTTCAGAAAGAAGCACAATGCCCATCAGCATTCCCTCCCTGTCTCTTACTCTATTCCTAGTCTTTAGCAACTACCTACTTTCTGTCTCTCCAGATGACCTACTCTAGATATTTCATAAAAATGTGATCATATAATAAATATGATACAATATGAATGGCTTCTTCAACTTAACATGAATATTTATTGCAAGATTCATTCATATTATAGCATAGAGTAGTATGACATTCCTTTTCATGGCTGAATAATACAGTTTATGGATATATGACATGTTATTTATCCATTGATCAGTGGATAGAATTAGGTTGTTTTAACAGTGGTTACTATGAATCATGCTTCTCTGAATGTTTATAAACAAGCATTTTTGTGTGAACCTATATTTCCATTTCTCTTGGGTATATACCTAGGAATGAAATGGCTAAGATTTAGCTAACAAATTTGAAGAACTATCAAATTGTTTTCCAAAGCAGCTGTACCATTTTCCATTCCCACCACCAGTATATGAGAGTTCCACTTTCTTTTTTTTATTTCTTTTTTTTAATTTATTTTTATTTTTTATTTTTTATTTTTTTGACAGGCAGAGTGGACAGTGAGAGAGAGAGACAGAGAGAAAGGTCTTCCTTTTGCCGTTGGTTCACCCTCCAATGGCCCCGCATCTGGCGCACTGCGGCTGGCGCACCGCGCTGATCCGATGGCAGGAGCCAGGTGCTTCTCCTGGTCTCCCATGGGGTGCAGGGCCCAAGGACTTGGGCCATCCTCCACTGCACTCCCTGGCCACAGCAGAGAGCTGGGCTGGAAGAGGGGCAACCGGGACAGAATCTGGTGCCCTGACCGGGACTAGAACCCGGTGTGCCGGCGCCGCAAGGCAGAGGATTAGCCTAGTGAGCCGCGGCGCCGGCCTAGAGTTCCACTTTCTGTATGTGTATGCCAACATTTTGTTTTCAGCAGCCATAAGTAAAGCTTTATTGGAACACAGCCACACACTCATTTTTTAAAAAGATTTATTTGAAAGTCAGAGTTACACAGAGAGAGAAGGAGAGACAGAGAGTGAAGGAGAGGCAGAGAGAGAGAGGTCTTCCATCCGCTGGTTCACTCCCCAATAGATCACAATGGCCAGAGCTGCGCCGATCCAAAGCCAGGAGCCAGGAGCTTCCTCCAAGTCTTCCCACATGGATGCAGGGGCCCAAGGACTTAGGCCATCTTCTACTGCTTTCCCAGGACAAAGCTGAGAGCTGGATTGGAAGTGGAGCAGCCAGGACTCGAGCCAGCGCCCATATGGGATGCCGGCACTGCAGGCAGCATCTTTACTTGCTACACCACAGTGCCAGTGCACACACTTATTTTAATATTGTCAATTTTTGTTTTCAAGCTCTAGTGGCAGAATTGAGTATTTGTGACAGAGCTATATTTGTCTTTGTCTTTTCATTATACCCATCCAGTTAGGTGTAAAGTAATATCTCATTGAGGTTTTTATTGTATTTCCCTATAGCTAATGATATTAAGCATCTTTTCATTTACTGACTATTCATAGATAATCCTTCAAGAAGTCTCTATTCAGAACCTTTGTCAATTAAAAGAATTTTTAAAGATTTATTTGTTTATTTGAAAGGCAGAGTTACAGAAAGGAGGAGGCAGAGGTAGAGGTAGAGAGATCTTCCATCCACTGGTTCACTCCCCAGATGGCCACAACTGCTGGAGCTGGACCAGGAACCAGGTGCTTCTTCTGGGTCGCCCACACGGGTGCAGGGGCCCAAGCACTTGGGCCATCTTCTACTGCTTTCCCAGGCCATAGCAGAGAGCTGGATCAGAAGTGGAGCAGCCGGGACTCAAACTGGGGCCCATATGGGATGCTGGCACTGCAGGCGGTAGCTTTACCTGCTCCGCCACAGCACTGGCCCCAATTAAAAGAATTTTTTAAAGATTTATTTATTTGAGAAGCAAAATTACAGATAGAGAGATGGAAAGACAGAGAGAAAGAGAGATTTTCCATCTACTTGTTCACTCCCCAAATGGCTGCAATTGGCATAGCTGGGCTGATCCAAAGTGAGGAGCCAGGAGCTTCTTCTGTCTTCCACATGACTGCAGGGGCCCAAGCACTTGGACATCTTCACTGCTTTCCCAGGCTATTAGCAGGGAGCTGGATTGGAAGTGGAACAGGGGACTTGAAGTGGCACCCATATAGGATACTGGTGCTGCAGGTAGAGGCTTAACCTACTAAGCCACAGCACAGGCCCCAAAGAAAATTTTTTGAGAAACAGGTAGGAAAAGAATGAGGGTGCACCTTCCCATTAGTTTATTCCTCAAATGTCCTTGATGGCTGAGGCTGAGCATGGCCAAAGCTGGGAGCCAGGAACTCAATCTGGTCCTCTCACCTGGGTGACAGAAATCCAATTACTTAACACACCACTTCTGCCTCCCATGGTCTGCATTAGCAGGAAGCTGGAGGCAAGAGCTAGAGCCAGGCATTGAACCTATATTTGCCAGTGTGTGATGCAGTGTCTTAACCAGAGTCTTAACCAATAGGCTAACTGCCTGACCCTGCATTTTTAGTTTTATTTATGACTGGGAGACAGATGGACAGAGCGCTCATCTACTGCCACAGTCCCCAAATGAATTCTGGGGCTGACTTGGGCCAAAGCCAAGAACCAGAAGATCAATACATATCTCCCACATGGGTGACAAAAATTCAGTTACTTGAGCCATCACCCGCTGCCTCCAGAGTGCGTATTATCAGGACTCTCTAAGCAAAGGCTTGAACCCAGGTGCTCTGATATGATATGTGGGCATCCCAAGAAGTAACTTAGGCTAAAGACCCTCTCCCCTGCCCATTTTTAAATTTGAGTTTGTCTTTTTATTATCAAGTTGTAAACATTCTTTATATATTCTGAATAGAAATCTCTTGTTGAATAAATAATTTTCAAATACTTTTTCCCATCACTTTCCTGATAGCATAAATTTTTAACTTTGATGAAAATCATATTTTTTCTTTTGCCACTTATGCATATCTAAGAAGGTTTTGCCTATCCCAGAGTTATGTAGACTTTGACATCTATGTTTTCTTCTAAGAAAACTGCTTTTACATTTATGTCTATGATCAATATTGAGTTGATGTTTGTGTATGGCAAAAGAAGAGGGGCCACCTTCATCTTTTGCATGTGGACATCAAGTTTTCCAATACCATTTGTTGAGCAGGGTTGTTCTTTTCACACTGAATTGTCTTGATGATTTTAAAATATCAGTTGACCATGGGGCCAGTGCTTTGGTGAAGTGGGAAAAGCCATTGTCTGCAATGCTGACATCCCATATGAGCACTGGTTCAAGTCCCAACTGCTCCACTTCAAACCCAGCTCCCTACTGGTAGCCTGGGAAAAGCAATGGAAGATGGCTCACGTTACTCATGTAGGAGACCAGGAAGAAGCTTATGGCTCCTGGCTTCAGCCTGGCCTCATCCTGGCCATTGCAGCCTTCTGGGGAGTGAACCAATGAATGGAAGATCTCTCTGTCTCTTCTGCCCTCTCTGAGTGACTCTGACTTCCAAATAAATAAATAAATCTTTTTAAAAATTGGCCATGAGTATGCACAGTTGTGTATAGTTTAGGTCCAGAGAAAAGATTTCTGTCACTAATTTTCTAATATACCAATTTTTAATAATGTAGTTATGTTCATTTCCAGTTAAACACATAAGAAAATATAAATTTGATGAAAAACAATAAAATGTTGTTATTGAAGAATAATGGGATAAATTTTTAATTTTAATTTTCATGTTTATAATTTGTGGTTTCCAAATGAAAAATAAGCTTGATTTATTGCTTTACTCAGAAACTATTTTGAAAGGATATTAATAATCATAGTCTTTTAGAAAGTATGGAAAGGTAAAACAAAACTAGTCAAGTTTGAAATAACTGGAATTCAAGCTTTGATTTAATCTCTAAGCATAGAAAAAATGTGTATTCTCTAGATAATTCTCTTACGTGGTTTGATAAGACTACGCTGTCATATACACACTGGAGAGCAGGAAGACCAGCTGTAAAAAATGACAAGTTTTTGGCTGGCTTGAGTACTGATGGCTTTTGGGATATTCAGACCTTTAACGTTATTGAAGAAGCACTTTATTTCTACCAGCACAGCATTCTTGCTTGTAAAATTGAAATGGGTAAGTATGCTAAGGCGGAGTGTCCACTCCAGGGAAAGAGAATATAAGGCCATTAGCTCCACTAGTGGGAGTCATGGGGTGTGTGTGTGTGTTTGTATGTGTGTGTTTAATGCTTCAGTCCTGTGTGAAGTCTACAGAGGTAGGAGCAGGCATGGTCCCTAGTGTCATGGCCTTGGCCTCAAGGAACAAAATGTATTTCGGGAAATAGCCTTAAATTCCTCTCTTATGTAGGCTAGCCTTAGATTATTAGGTACAGACTCGAATGTGTAGAGAAGTTAAAATAAATTAGGGAACTAAAGAATAATGAAATAATGAAAACAAATAATGCCTTCAGGAGAAGGTGAAACCTGGCTGGACCTTAAAGGATGGATATGACTTATATGAAGAAGAAAGTGTATTTGCTTATCCTTTCAACAATCCAGGCAAAATGAATGTCTCTCCAACCTTGCCTAACCCTGAAATAAATCTATTACAATCCATGTTAGTTTTTAAGATTTTTCTAGCCTAAAAATGGTTATTACTACCCATCTTTACAAAGCCTTCTGTCACCAGAGCCCACCACAGTGACATCCAGGCTGATGGCCTCCCCTCACAGGGCTACAAAATAACCTCTGAAAGACCATGTCCATGAACACTCTCCGGGGATTCCCCATGACCAGTTATTCTGACACCTTGTAAACCTTTGGGACCTTTTAGGGACCAGTCCCTATTCCTTAGCCTTCACCCAGCCCCCATTCTTTCTTCTTCTTTCTCAGTAACTAACTATAATCCTTAAAGAAGTCCCTATGCTCAGTCCACCCTAATGAGAAGGAAATTATCCTCCTCCTTCCTGAGGGGAGAATATATATAGCACTTAGACTTCTCTGGCATGACATTTGTCTGTACTCTCCCATTATAAAATGTATTCAGTCTTCTATTTTACCCTCATTGTTGTGGTTTTGTTATTATTTGTTTTTAGTATCGCCTTACTTTCTGGTTCCTTAACTTCTTTTTGTTCTTAATTTCACCTAACCCTCTTGATTCATTTTTTTCTTTAGTTTTATACTTTGGATTATAACCCAGCATACTACATCATTCACTATTTTGCTCAAATTGTTCCAGGTTTGGCCATTAGGAGCTCTTTCACTTGGCTTCTGTGTCCCTTTGAAATACCCTCATCGTGGTTATTTTATTGTTTGTTTTTAACACTTCCTTACTTTCTGGTTACTTTATTTATTTTTAGTCTTAATTTCACCTAATCCTAAAATCCGGTTTATCAAACAGACTTCCTGACTCCTGTATTTCAGATGAATCGCTCTTCTACTCAAACTTACATATACTAGTGGTTATTAGTTTTGCCATCATTTCAGATATAGTCATTGTCTCCAACTAATATGAGGACTGTGTTTATACATTTTTAATCAACCATACAATTAATATTTAAGAGCCTGTTATATATGCTGTAACAAGCAAAAAAGGAAAAATGTATATTTGACTTATTTGATAATAAATCTAGTTTTATTTAACTTATGAAATGATTGTATATCATCTTATTGAAAATATATATTTAAAATAAATTTAATCACTAACACTTAATTTAAATATTACAGTGGATTACAAAGAAGAATTTAATACCACACTGCCACAGTTCATTCCATATAAAGATGATATTTATAGCGTTATTCAAAAAAAGGTAACATGGTATGAAGCATTAAATGCATGCTCTCAAAGTGGAGGTCAGTTGGCAAGTGTCCATGATCAAAATGGCCAGCTCTTCCTGGAAGATATTGTGAAACGTGACGGATTTCCACTGTGGGTTGGCCTCTCAAGTCATGATGTAAGTCTTGCTTTGTTTTCCAGAAATTTCCTAAATCTGTTAATTTGAGGTTTAGAAATTTGAGCATAAAATGTTAATTCAAAGTGCAACATTACATTAAGTCCTGAATCTCAGTTTGCATAGCATGGTGCTTTTATACTGTTTACAACACAGAACAAATTAAAAACTAAATTTGTAGAATGAAGTAGGCGAAATGGCTGGGCTACCCGAGACCAGTGGGTTAATATTTCAACAAAGCCTCTGAAGCCTATTCGGGGTACACATATAGAAACTAGCAGAGAATCAGAAAATCCTGAGTTTTAGTAGTAGCAGCAGGTCTCCTATTTACTTGTTGGGTAATTGTGAGCAAGTTATTTAACCTTTGCAACCTCATTTCCTCACCTGTAAAATCAGATAACAGTATTTTGTTGAGATTTTAATATAAAATTTTATGTAGGATGCCAGCTGAAATTTTAACAAGCTTAGAATTCATAAGTGTGTAAGGTCTTCCTACTTTTCCTCTAGGAATTAGCAGTAGTTAAAATTAGTCTTCTGCTGGCAAACACATCTTCTGTGTCACTACTTGAATCTCATTAATGAGTATATTTGTGTACTTATAATAGTGCTTGGCATAAAAAATCAGCTATTGAAATTAGAGTTTTAGGCCTAATTTAAATAGTCTTAAGAACAAAGGATGGAAATAGACAAAATAAAGGATAGCAAGTTCAAATTCATCTTCTCAAAAGATAAGAAATGAAAAAAAAATAAACAAAATGCAGTTTAGAACTTTAAAAAAAAATCGTCTTCTCATAATGAGTTCCTTGGGAAGTATTTTCATTTTCTAGTCCCCTGCTGCTTAATGTCCTCTGTCATGTGAAAGTTGTAGGCAGAGACTCAACCATAACACTATGAACTATAGGAAACAATATTCAGAATACTATAAAGGTTAGAACTGTAATTGTGACAAAAGGAAGCCACTTGGCTGTCATTTAATTTCAAGTGTTACATAAATTCATGATTTATGGCCGGTGCCACGGCTCACTTGGCTAATCTTCCACCTGCAGCGCCGGCACACCGGGTTCTAGTCCCAGTTGGGGCGCCGGATTCTGCCCTGGCTGCTCCTCTTCCAGTCCAGCTCTCTGCTGTGGCCCGGGAGTGCAGTGGAGGATGGCCCAGGTCCTTGGGCCCTGCACCTGCATGGGAGACCAGGAGAAGCACCTGGCTCCTGGCTTCAGATCAGCGCAGCGTGCCGGCCGTAGTGGCCATTGAGGGGTGAACCAACGGAAAAGGGAGGACCTTTCTCTTGTCTCTCTCTCACTGTCCACTCTGCCTGTCAAAAAATTCATGATTTAAAAAAATAAAGACAGAGGATAGTAACTCTGTTATAAAGTTTAAAATTTTTATTTAATTATGGCAGAACAAATATCTCAGATCAGTTCATCTACGATACTTGTAAGCAAATAAAACTAATTCTCTATTCCAATATTTCTTAACGTATGTATGTTGTTCCTTGTGTTCTTTTTGAATTCATACGTCTGCATTCAGCTTATCTCTTTACTCTTGAAACAGGGCAGTGAATCAAGTTTTGAATGGTCTGATGGCAGTGCATTTGACTACATCCCATGGAAAGGCCAAAAGGCTCCTGGAGATTGTGTTGTTGTGGATCCAAAAGGAATTTGGAAACATGAAAAGTGCAGCTCTGTTAAGGATGGTGCTATTTGTTATAAACCTACAAAATGTATGACTTCATTTCCAATAATTATGTTTACTAAAATACAGTATAATGTATGTACATGGTTAAATACTTAATGGAATTTTTAATAGATTTTAAATGCAGTTGATCTACAAGTTATATAAAAATAATTTTGATACTTGGTTAATAGAAACAGATACAGTATGTTGCACTCAGGGAATTTGTTCCCAGAGACTTTCAATTATTGTAGCACCAAGTAAATTTTACTCCTGATAGACAGAGAAGAGGTCTTGTGGCAGACAGGAGGCAGGCAGAGATCTTGCATCTGCTGGTTTACTCCACAAATGCTCACAACAGCTAGAGCTGGGCCAGGGTGAAGCCAGGAGCCTGGAACTCAATCCAGATCCCCACATGGGTGGCAGGGACCCAAACACTTTAACCATAATCTGCTGCTTCCTAGGGTGCCCATTAGAAAGAAGCTGGCCCAGAAGCTGAGTAGCCAGGACTTGAAATAGGCACTCTGATATAGGATGTGGGCATCCCAAATGGCAACTTAATGACTGCACCAAACGCTTACCTGAGAGACTCCTTTAAAGAAACAGTTAATAAACTGACTTATTAGTGGTTAGCTACAGGAGAAAATGTAATTTTTTTCATGAATACATGAAAAACATGATCAGGCATGCAACAATGAAGAGCACATGTGTCTCAGGCTTCACAGGATGAAGGAGAATACATCACATTCATACTTGGGCTGGGCTCTGTGCTGGGTTGAACAGTGTCCCCTCACCCCAATCCTGTTCACCTAGACTTCCGAATGTGACCTTATTTATAGAGTACACATGTGTAGTTAGTTGAGATGAGATCATACTGGATTTGGGTGGGCACTAAATCCAATCACTGGTATCCTTACAAGAGGGAAACACAGGCACACAAAGGAAGGAAAGCCATGTGATGACAGAGGCAGACTGCAGTGAGCTACAAGCCAAGGATTAGTAGCAAACCCCAGGAGACAGCAGAGAGGCATGAAACAGGCCATCTCAGTGTCAGACTTCTGGCCTCCAGAACCACGAGGGGGCACATTTCTGTTGTGTTACACTGCCAAGTTCATGGTAATTTATTATGGCAGTCCTAGGAAACTAATACAAGAGTGAAGTTGAAAAGTGTACCTTCAAAAGTAACGCAGTTGGTGAGGATGTAGAAAAAGTGGAACCTTTCTGCATTGTTGGCGGAAATATAAAAAAAAATACAGCCATAGTAGAAAATAATATGGCAACTCCTCAAAACGTAAACCTAAGATTACTAATATGATCAGCAATTCCACTTCTGGGTAAATATTCAAAAGGTTTGAAAGCAGGCCCTCAAATAGGTATCTGTACAAACATGTTCATAGCAGCATAATTAATAATAGCCAAAACAAGGAAGCAACCCAACTGTCCTCTGATGGATGAATGGATAAGCAAAATATAATACGCTAACATAATGGAGTATTATTCTACCTTAAAAAGGAGGTTTTGACACATACTGCTACCTGAATGAATCCTTGAATACAGTATGCTAAGTGAAATAAGCCAGTCCCAAAAGGATAAATGCTATTTAATTCCACTTGTATAAGGCACCTAGAGTTGTCATATTCACTGAGACAAGAAGAGTAGAATGGAAGTTGCTAGGGACTAGAGGGAAGGAGGTATGGGGAGTTGTAGTTTAATGGCTTAAAAGTTTCACTTTTGAAAGATGAAAAGTTCTGGAGATGGATGGTGGTGGTGCGTGCATATGAATGTACTTAATGCCTCTAAACTGTTCACTTAAAGTGGCAAAGATGGTAAAGTTTACCACAATATAAAAATTGCGGGGCAGAGTGCTAGCACAGCAGGTTAAGTTGCCACCTGCAATGCCAGCATCCCATATTGGAGTGCTGGTTTGAGTTCTGGCTGCACCACCTCCCATCCAGCTTCCATGGCAGATGATCATGCAAGTACTTAGGACCCCACCACTCATGTGGGAGACCTGGATGGGATTCCTAGCTTCAGCCTGGCTCAGTCCTGGCTGTTGTGGCCATTTAGGGGAAGTGAACCAGCAGATGGAAGATCTCTATATCTCCCTCTCTGTGTCACTCTGCTTTTCAAATAACTATTTTAAAAATTTTTTTAGATCTTCTTGAATAGTAATATAACTTTACCACAATGTAAGCCCTCAGGAGAAAAAAAACAGGAGTTGAAATCAAAACTTCAGGAAGAACAGGAAGGAATGAAGATCTATGCACCTTAATGCAGCCCAATTGCAGATTGTAATAGAAACAGATTTTTTTTTTTTTTTTTTTTGACAGGCAGAGTGGACAGTGAGAGAGAGAGACAGAGAGAAAGGTCTTCCTTTGCCGTTGGTTCACCCTCCAATGGCTGCCGCAGCCGGCGCGCTGCGGCCGGCACACCGCGCTGATCCGATGGCAGGAGCCAGGAGCCAGGTGCTTTTCCTGGTCTCCCATGGGGTGCAGGGCCCAAGCACCTGGGCCATCCTCCACTGCACTCCCTGGCCACAGCAGAGGGCTGGCCTGGAAGAGGGGCAACCGGGACAGAATCCGGCGCCCCGACCGGGACTAGAACCCGGTGTGCCGGCGCCGCTAGGTGGAGGATTAGCCTAGTGAGCTGCAGCGCCGGCCGGAAAATAAGTTGTTTTTTTTTTTTTAATTTATTCAAAATGCAGAGTTATAGATAGAAAGGAAGAGATGGAGAGAAAAAGAGGTCTTCCATCCTCTGTATTACTCCTCAAATGGCTTGCAATGGCTGGGCCTGACCCAGGCTGAAGCCAGGAGCATGAAACCCAGCCAGGTTTCTCACACAGGTGGCAGGGGCTCAAGCAATTGGGTCATCTGCTGCTGCTTTCCCAGGTGCGTTGGAAGGGTGCTGGATCAGAAGTGGAACAGCC